GCTGCCCCTCGGGGTTGTCCGGCTGCTCAGCTATGCGAACGGTTGCATACTCCCCGTCAATTTCGCACATGAGTATCGGCTCGTGCGGAATTTTAGAAATACCTTGCATTCGTTCGCGTTGCGTGGCGTTCCTCCCTGCTTTCCTTTTCTATAGCCTGGGCCATCTCCGAATTGACGAGTCGTCGGAGTCATCGGAGACTATTACCACGTCTTCGTTTTCGTCAGTCCGTCGTCTTGGTTCCTCGTCGGATGTTGCTAAGAGACGCTCCAGGATTTGTCTCCATCGTTGGTCGTCCTGGTCTTCCTCGCTCTCCGCTTGGCGCTCGTTCCGCCCTGGCTTGTTAGTCTCATCGTGTTCGCTACTGCTGTCGATTATAATTTTTTCCCTATCTTTCTCGGTTCGTTGTTCTGTCTCCTCGTCAGTTGGAGCGCGCCATCGCTCGGCTATCTCTCTCCATTGTTCGTTTCCTGTTTCATCCCCACTTCCGTTTGGCTGCTCGTCTTCTCTCCCTGCCCCGTCGTCGTTGGGCTCGCTTGGTATGTTGACGGTCTCGGCGCTTGCCCGCCTAGGTGGTGTTTCGTCCCTATTCCTTGCGTCATTTTCTTCGTTTTCGCTGGTGTCCGAAAGTATGCGCCGCCTCTGTTGCGACGGCCTTAATATGGATTCATCGTCATCACTGGTTTGCTCACCTCTCCTGTCATCGTTTTGTTCACTTTCTTCTTCTTCGTCGTCTGCGTCATCGTCCCGTTCGATGGGTTCCTCCTCGCTCGCGTTTCCGCTGTCCTCTCCACTTATACTTTCGTCCACTCTTTGTCCCCTCGGTCCGGGCTCCCCGTCATTCTCGGAGTCCTCCCGATAGGTACTTCGGTTCTCGTCTTCGGATGGTATCTGTTCCGGGCCTTTGTCATCGCTTATACCCCCGTCCTCGTCGCGTGCTTCCAGCTGCTCCCCGTCACTTACGGGCATACCTTCGTCTTCCTCGTTGTCTAGGGTGGCTTTGCGATTCGGTTTGAGTTGGCGAGCGTTGAACACCCCTAACGGCTGCCCTTCTAGGTCCTCTACCAAGTATGCGTTCGGGCGTATTACCCGTTGTATTCGGTATGGCCCTTCGTACACCAAATGGATTTTTCGGGTCAGTCTCCGATTGGCGTCGGATCTCCGGTGCAACTTGATCCAGACTTCTTGTCCCGGTCGGTATTCCACCGTGCCGTGTTTGTCAGCTTGCCGCCGTCTCTTCCTCGCGGCTCGTGCCAATTTTTCTCTCGCGTCTTGTACCTTGTCCTCCCATGTTAGCTCTTCCGTTCGCAACGGGATCAATCGCGGGTTTAGTTCCAATTCTATCGTCTCCCCGTTGTTAAGCTCGTGCGGTGTGTACCCTGTGGATGAGTGTACCGTGCTGTTCATGACCTCTTCCGTCCTCTGGAGAATTCGATGCCAGGTGTATTGTCGTTCACTTGCGTATGTTCTCATTACGCTTCCCAATTCCCTCATTACTCTCTCAACGGGGTTGGACTGCGGGTTGTATGGTGAGGTTTTCCTAGCTTCGAACCCTTTATCTCGCGCGAATTCGCTCCATCGGTCTGTCACGAATTGCCCTCCGTTGTCCGTCAATATCGTTTGGGGAATCCCGATGTCAGCGAAGAATCTTCCTTCTAGCAGTCCCAGAATTGTATCCAGCTTCTGGTCCTTCATGGGGTACAGTTTTATGAATTTTGAGAATTGGTCCATGATGACCAACACGTATTTGTATCCTTGTGCTGTCTTCGGCAGTGGCCCGAATATGTCCATAGAGAGTGTCCCCCGGGGCATCGGGCAATTGATAGTACTCGTTCCCTACCGTAGGCCGCGTGTAGTATTTTGTGGCTTGACATGTTTCACATGACGCCACCACGTCGCGCGCGATACGGGCAAGATCCGTGGAAATGTCGTTGCATGAACTCTAGCACTTTGTCTGTACCGAAGTGGATCAGTAGTTTGTGTGCCTCTAGCGTCATTCGCCACGCCACATTGCTCGGGAGCGCTATTCTGTCACTGCCCCGGTACCTCACACGAGTCAGGTCATCGCGCACGTATACATTCTCCGGTTCTTCCTGTTTCGCCTGTTGCAACG